AAAGGAAATGATGTATATTCATTCAACAACAACAACAGATACAGTCGGGTGGTTTAAGTAGTAACGGCCAGGGACAGTCTGGACTTTTCACCCTCACAACCGCTTAACTACTTTTACATCAAACGCTGCGTTTCATCTAACTGCCTAACAGCTTGGTTATCAAACGCTGCGTTTCGAACCTTATAAAAAGGGTTCGTTACACCTTTGAACATCGTAATCTGATCGATTTGGCAAATATAAACATACCACACACCTTCAATTTGACCTAGATGCAAAAAGACCAAAAAACATTAAAATAAAATCCTAACCGAAAGGAGAAGAAGAAATGCGCTGGTTGTTGGGGTTCTCGTGTTGCGGCACACGTCGCGCCTGTCACCAGAGATAGGGTGAGGACACCAGAGGGAGCTGTCGGAGTAGCCAAGTGTGAAGCAGGCTTATGACGGACAGCGAGGTGCAATGGGGCTATAGACTATATTTTTTTTGTTTGGATGTTTGTCTCTATCTCTTTTGTCAACCTTGAAGGGTTTCAACCATGGCCGCCAATCATTGTAGATGAAAATTTAAGGATGACTTTTTTCAAATTTAGAGGTGGTAGTAATCCCTAGAACAACTTTGATTGTATTACAGAATCTTGGCTTGGTGGATACGAAAACCAGAAATGCAAAATGAAGAATCTGGACTTACCTAGTGAATCTCCAGTATTGAAAATATAATCCTTGGCTCATTTGGGAAAAGCAATAAAATATTTAGATGGAGTTTACTCGAATTCAAAGCTCCTCTAACAAGTTGTTTATATATTATGTTTAATAATTGCCATATTTTTAGTTTGCGTCATTATTTTGATCATGCATGAAAATGCAATTGTAGATGTATCCAATTTAACTTTTTAACTTCATTGTAGTAAGGATTATATGGATGAGTTTAGATATTGAATGCTAAATATAAGAACTACGTACAGCTTGTGATATTAGTATATGGATTAAGTAGTATATATATTTTTGGCAAGTGAGAATATATATATATATATATATATATATATATATATATATATATATATATATATATATATATATATATATATATATATATATATATATATATATTCTTTTGTAATTTAATAACTAAAGTAGTTTATGAAATGTTTTTAATAATTAACATATAGATTAGTTAGTCTCGGTGTAATCAGAATTACTGATAAATGAGAATATAGATTTTCTTTTGTAGTTTACTAAGATGTTTGTAATAATTTGTTATTTTAAAACAGTGTATTAAAAGTTTATTATTTTAGCTAATTACCCATTTTAAATAACAAATCTTATTTAATTGATAGTATGTTTTTGGAAATCAATAAAATTATAGTATTTTTTCAATTGTAATATCGCAATGTTTCCTATATTAGTTATTACACAACAAAACTTTAAAATGAATAAAGGTTACATATCGTATTTACACATGAAACTTATTTGCAATAATAGTTGTTAGTATCATAAAATCACTTCAACATAGAAATATTTTAAAAAAAATTGTTATTAATAATTAACTAATTAATATGTATTTAAAAGAATCATTGACTGAGAATAAAAATGGCATGAAAAGTAGATCAATTTGAAAAGGAAATGATAATTAATACTTGATTAAAAATGACACTGAATATATTACTGGAAATAAAAAAAATATATAAATATGTTATTAATAATTAACTAATTAATATGTATTAAAAAAATCATTGACTGAGAATAAAAATGACATGCAAATTAGACCAATTGAAAAAGAAAACGATAATTAATATTTGATTAAAAATGGCATAAAATATATAAATTCTAAATATATATCGACAATTATATTAATAATTATAGTATAAATTAATTGATATGTACCAAGACTATGTGGTTTAATGGTATTCGGGTTGGACTTCCATTTGGAAGGTTGTAAGTTTGAGCTTTAGTGGAGGAGGTGTTATTGGTTCTTTGTGTTTTAGTAGTAAGTTGAGAAAGTATAAAATAATTGACTGAGATTAAAAATGACACGGAATATACAAATTATGATATTTTTTTTAAAAAAGATCTCCAAATTAACAATGTCGAAAATGAAACGGATTAACAATTGTATATGTAAATTGGAAAAAGGTATCTGTTATTAATAATTTACTAGAAATAAAAAAATTATATTAATAATTATTTAATTAATATATATTAAAAAAGAATTATTGACTGGTAATAAAAATGACATGAAAATTAGGCCAATTGGAAAAGGAAAGGATAATTAATACTTGATTAAAATGGATTAGAATATATTACTGGAAATAAAGAAATATGTTATTAATAAATAACTAATTAATATGCAATAAAAAAGAATCATTGATTGAAAATAAAAATGGAATGAAAATTAGTCCAATTAGAAAAGAAAATAATAATTAATATTTGATTGAAAATGACATGAAATATATAAATTCTAAATATATATCGACAATTATATTAATATTTATAGTATAAAATAATTGATATGTATTCAAACAATATTTGACTAAGAATAGAAATGATATGGAAATTAGCACAATTGGAAAATGTAATAATTATTAATACTTAAATTAAAAATTAAAAATAATTCCAAATTAACTCAAATGAAAAAGGAAAATGGCTAGACAGCCCAAAAAATAGTATAGGTAAATTGGAAAAATAATTGACTGTGATTAAAAATGCCACAAAATACATAAATTATGGTATAATATATTTTTAAGAAAAAAACGATCCCCATATTAACTATGTAGGAAAGGAAACGGATTAACTATTGTATATGTAAATTGGAAAATGTATTTGTTATTAATAATTTACTAGAAATATAAAAAAAAATATGTTATAAATAATTAACTAATTAATATGTATCAAAAAAGAATCATTGAATGAGAAAAAAATGGCATGGTTGGAAAATGAAATGAGATATATATATATATATATTGGAAGAAATGAGTTCGACCCTTAATGAAGGCGATATTCACTCTTTATGCTTCATTAGGTTGAAAAAGTATAGATGAACAGATACTATAATGTAATAGAGTCAGTATCATTATAAATAAAAGATAAAATTGAAATGTTCTATTTAATTTAATATCTTTAAATTTTTATTTTATTTTTTGTATTTTCGTTCAAAATTTTTAAAATTGAAATAATTTTATTTTATTCGAATTTAGTTGTATATATTTTCAATCTTATATTTAAATTACAGTAAAGATTAATATTTGTATTAATTTAAGCTTAAAATAATGATTATATATATATATATATATATATATATATATATATATATATATATATATATAATTAAAAGTAAAATTCTCATAGCCAAATCCCCCCCCCCCCCCCCCCCCCCCCCCGCAAAAAAAAAAAAAAAAAAACTTAAGGCCATTTCTGTAATATCCGTAAATATATAATTAGTCTATATATAATTCATAAATATTCCGTGTGTGACTAATTAGTTATGGAAAGAATATTATGGTAATTAATTAATTTGTTTATAAAATTTATTCGGTGTGAATTTCATAGTTGATTAAAATTTAATTAATTATAGAAATTATATATTCATATTCGTGTATATATAATTAGTTTCTATCTATTTCATAAATATTCCGTGTGTGACGTACTAATTAGTTATGGAAATAATATTATGATAATCAATTAATTAGTTTATAAAATTTATTCCGTGTGAAGTTTAGTTGACTAAAATTTAATTAATACCTGTTGATGCTAGCATATGCAATGATTATCAACAAAAGCCAGAGTCCAACACTAACTCACGTTGGCTTTTTCCCGAGTCACTCATCCTGATGGCCTTAAGGTTTTAGCTCTAGACGAGGATGGACAAACTTTTGTTACTACTACTAATGTCGTCTACAAAGAGGTTTTCAACAGTGTCTAATTCAAAACAGTTATATTATGTATTCTTCTAGCACAAATATAACAAAAATGTTATATATCTACATATTACGTATATGTTCCGTTACAAAAATTTCTATAGCTAAATTACTACACATAAAGATAATGAGACCAATTAATTCAATTTCGAAACATTCATACAAACCTTAATTAACGTTCAAATTTACACTATCGAATATGAAGCAAATTATAATTCATATATTATAACAAATACATTCCGTGCATCGCACGGGTGCAAATACTAGTTGGAGTAAAATTAAAATGATCTTTTAGTGTTGCTATAATGAAATTAGTGTGTAGAAAATAAAATTAAAAAATAAAGCTCATTCAACAACCTATATTGTTTAATGAAATTGCAGTATAATTAAAATGATATTTTAGTGTTGCTATAATAAAATTTGTGTGTGTGGAAAATGGTACTAAAATCCAGAGCCATACAATAACATATTTTGTCAAATGAACCTGAAGTATAATTAAAATAATACTTCAACACTACTATGGTTAAACTAGTTTGTGTGAAAATGAAACTATAGTAAAATTAAAATGATATTTTGGTATTACTATAATAAAACTAGTGTGTGTGGAAGATTAAACTAAAAACTAAGCAATGTTGTCAAATGAAACGAAGTGTAATTAATGTTAGGAACATTTGTAACATAGATTTTGATGATACCAAAAGTTAGGAATTTTAGTCCTCAATTTATTTCTTTTTCTAGACTTAGGATTTTCTCCTTATTCGAATAATTCAAAGAAGATAGAACAGTAAATCGAATGGTTACAGTTTGAATGATTAATACAGAAGGTTATGATTCGGATGAAAAAGACTTCGAAGAGTTGAAGATCAGAAGAAGAGTCGAAGAATAGAAGACATCAAGACTGGAAGGTTGCAAACGCCGAATCATATATGGAAGGGCCTACATTTCGAATAGAAGGGGATTCAAAAAGAAGTTCGAATAGTAAGGACAACTATTCAAAACCGAAAGGTTGCAAGTGTTAAGGTTCATAATGTTAACTCGAATAGTGTTAGTTAACCATTTGAAAAGAACTGCTCAAGACATTCTCTGAGTCGACTCCATAAAAGACCTCAGACCGGTACAAAAGATATGGCAGAATCCTTTGGTGGTTTGGGGAGAGGATCTCATGGGGGCAGCGAGATACGCGGAGGCAATAAGGAAAGAAGATCATCTAAACTTAGGAAAGAAGATCAATTGTATTTAGAAAGGAGATCAATCGTACATAGAAGAGAGATCAATTGTATTTAGGGCAAGAAAGACTTTAGACCCTTACATTCTTGTATAAATAGGCCCCTGTACACCTTGAAAAAGGATAAGCCATATACACACACAAAGCAATACAAAGCGTTATTTTTTCGGTCACCGTGTTTTATTTTTTGGGTTGTGTTGGCCCGCCGTTTGACTACCCCGGTGGTCAATAAAATCAAAAATACAGCTAGACTTTGTTTGGTAGAGGTTATTTAAAAATTCAAATAAGATATAAGCTATGTTTCGTAAAACATGAGAACTTTACAAAATAGTATATTTTGAAACGCTAGTGTTTCAAATTATGCTCCTGAATTTTTAACTTTTTTTATATTAATTTATAAAAATGATACCATCTACTATTCATTAATCAAAATCCTAATACCTTAATTTATCTTTTTTATGTCTTTGTACATTTATAGCTCATTCAATAATTAATTTTACCAAACATTTTACTTTCAATTAGTTAGATGATTAGCTATTACGTTTTCAACATTTAGTTTTTAGTTAGATTTTCAGCTAGCCGTGCCAAACAAAGCTTTAGAAGTATATGTTCTTGACAATACAAGTAGCATTTTGCAGCTACTTTTTATCTCTGTGAAAAAAATTATTATTTTTTCATTTACATTCTTTATTATGGATTTGTTTGGATTTATGTCACTCTAGACCAGCTGTAGTTGCTCCGACTAAGTCGATGCAAACAAGTTTGATTTTTTTTAGAAAAGTATGTTTTTCGTATTATTTTTATCTATAATTGATCTTCCGTAGTTTTTAATTATTGTTTTGTTTTTAAAATTTTGTATTATATGTATTTTTTTTTGTATTATTGCTTTGTTTAAAACAATAATTATTGCTTTGTTTAAAACAATAATTTTGTAATATTGTTTATATATTTTATTCTCAAGCACAATTTTTGTTATTTGTGCGATGCAATGGTTACAGAGTCAGTAGGGGATACTACCCGAGTTCACTGTTTTTTGGTGACTTTGTACTTTGTAGTTAAGAGAGAAACGAAAGTTGCGGTCGAGAAGACCATCGCAAAAAAAAAAGCAGAAAAATGATTCAGCTTTAAAACAAGTTATAGAGAAAAAACAAATGTCGATGGCAAGATTTAGAAGAATGTGGTTGAAAGCGATTCCTCTTCATCTTATGAAGACACTTCTTCTTATTCTGAGAAACAATTGAAGGCCAGTAGATTAAAATATCCATGTATGTGCATTCTTGAAAGTACCATTTAGTATTTGTTGCTTTTATTGACCTAAACTTGATTTTCTGTTATTACATTCTTATAAAAAATTAATGTTCTTATATTTTTTGTTTTTAGAGTATGGATTATTTGTTCCATTCAATTTTTTTAAAATATATTGCGAGTTGTGTTTTAAGTATTGAGTATCTGATGGTGTTTTTTATTGTTGTCTTTGTGTCATGTAGGAAGGATTTTATTTTTTATTAATAGAATATATTATCATATGATTAATATTACTAAAGTAAGAAATTTATATATGAAAAATTACTGCATATAATTATGGTAACATTTATTTAAAATATAATGAAATTAAAATTTTTTATACTATTAATACAAATAAAATTCTCCTGTATAATTTCCAGTACAAACTTTTATTAATAATATGGTTATTTTCCTTTAAAAGTGAAAATGGAAAACAATCGGTAGTATCAAGAATTTAAAAGGAAGATTGTGCGAAAATAATAGAACCAAATTGAATATTAATAAATAATTGCCCAATTTTAATAATAATAAGCTTATTAAAACAATCAGTAATCTATACTATATATACAAACAAAATCCTATATTTTAATTCCCGTCTAAAAGACTCCTACAGTATTAATGTTTGCGTAATATTGTAAAATATATGGTAATACAATTTATATTCGTACTACAATGGTACAAATATGGTAATACAATCCCTACTACAAATATTCTTTCATACTTTTATATTTGTACTACAATTCTAAATTAAATTTGATATCAATTTACCTTATGTAAGATATCATATGACATCTATATATTATTTCCTCTTCTATTTTTCTTATTCTTTTTATTTATCTTTTTTTTTTAATGTCGAATAATTACCATAAGTTATTAATAATAATTGTAAATTTATATTGGGAAATTAAATTAATAATTAATTATTAAAGCAAGTATAATTTGTTTGTACTGTAGACACATTATTTTTAATAATTTTGATTTAAGCTACTCAAGTTTCTATGTTTTTTATATACAAAGCTATAATTGTAATACTTTCATAATAATATTGAATAAATATTATCCATATATTTAGATTTAATTATATATATATATATATATATATATATATATATATATATATATATATATATATATATATATATATATATATATATATATATATATATATATATATATAGATAGTGATGCTTAATACGGGCAAACCATATAAGAGCATAATCTAATATAGGAAAATATTCATTACTAACCATATATAACTTAGAAAATAACTAAACTTATTGAAACCTAATTATTTATAATTTCACATTTAATATAAATATGTAGTTTGAATATCCAAAATTAATAAGATTTTTTTTTTAATGTGGATCTATATATTTTAAATAATTTCAATTTAATAATACTATACCTTAATTATAAAAATAATACCTTATATAGAGTAAAATCCTTCTAGCCAACTTTTTTCTCCAAAAACTAAATTGAATTGAGGGGTGAGAACGTTGTAGATGAAGGTCTTTTCTCATCATACTTTGCCTTTTTCTAGAGAGAGTGAGAATGTGATGCTGAGGAAAGAGAAAAAGGAAATGGAGAGATTTTTTTAACCAGAAGTTTCTATGTTTTTCTTATACAAATTTATAATTGTATATTTATATTAATAAATAATTATTAAGACAAGTATATTTTATTTTACATTGTGGACACATTATTTTTAATAAATTTGATTTAATAATATTATACCTTAATTATAAAAATTCTACCTAATAATTTTAGTATTAAATGTCATACAATAATTACCATAAACAATGTTTAATAATTGACAAATTCTATTAGGCAATTAAAATTACTATTATAAAATCTTTGGTAATATGTACACATTATTTTTAATTATTTCGGTTTAATAATATTGTATCTTATTTATAAAAAAAATTGAAATAATACTTTTAATACTATTGAATATTGATTGACTAAAAATTGTCTTAATTATTAAAGCAATTAATAAGTATTTAGCTTTAAAAAAAGTTCAAATATATGAATTATAGATGGTAGCACGGAATCAATTAGTAGGACAATTATATTAGGTAATCTAATTAATAATTTACTTTTTAAATTATTTTCCGTTTTTAATAATGAATATTTTCTTAAAGGATACACATACTATGCTTATCAATATATAATTAATTAAAGCGCACACACACACACACACACACACACACACACACACACTCACACACACACTTAATGTATAATATTATTAGTACAAAATCAATTATACTTGTCTTAATAATTAATTATTACTATTATTTTCTAATAATTATGTATTGTCACCTTTTGCGGAGAGGGAATTCCATTTTTGGTCCTACTGTTATAGGGGCGTTTCCAATTTCAGTCCACTTTAATTTTTTTTGCCACTTTACAACCACTGTTATTGAATGTGTTCCACTTTTAGTCCACCGTTAATATTTTCGTCAAGAGGCCGTATAATCAAAGGGTATTTTGGTATTTTTATGTTTGTATCTTCTCTTTTAATCTAGGCGCTTCGTCCTCCTCCTCTGATATTCGAAGATGGCTCTTCGAACAACGAGAATGGGAAGCCAAAGCTACATCGTTTCGTTCGTTCCAACATGGGCCGGCGAGGTTTCTTAGGTTTTAGGTTTAATGTTCTCATTTCTTTAGTCAAACATAGTCTTGGATGAGAAGAAATATCAAAATACCCCTAGATTACAACTCCTCTTGATGGAAATACTAACGGTGGGACTAAAAGTGGAACACATTCAATAATAGTGGTTATAAAGTGGCAAAAAAAATTAAGGTGGACTAAAATTGGAAACGCCCCTATAACAGTAGGACCAAAAATGGAATTCACTCTATAATTATTATAGTAATTTATATACATATATATTTTTATACTTAATGTATAATATTATTGACACAAAATAAATTATACTCACCTTAATATATAGATCATTTTTTAATATAATTTCCTAATTTTTATTAAAGGTAATTATTCTCATAATTTGTCTTTTCTTCTTTTGTGCAATTATTATGATAATTTATGGTAATGTATTTAAATATTTGAAGAGAACAAATTTTATAATTAATATAATTTAATGAAATTATTATGGTAATTGCCACAATATTTGGTAATTATAATTAATATAATTAATGAAATTGAAAAATATAAGATTTCTTCCGTAGAAATATTTGTGACAGTTTCATTAAATTATAATTAATAAATATGAAATATAATTAAAGAAATGAAATTGACCTAATTTCAATGAAAATATATTAAGAATATTTATAATTTTTCTTTTATTTTTTTAAATATACATACATACACTTTTTAAATTTATATATATAATTTTTTAAGTATAAATCTATCATTATAAATTATAATTAATGAAATTATATTATAGAATTTTCCTATATACATATTAATAAATATTATGTGTATATACAATGTATTATACAATCATATAAGGATATGTGTCCGATTAGAGTTTATATTTATTCATACAAATTTTAGAATTTACATTTTTTTTTTGATTTCTAAGTACAATTCTCCTAGTTATTATTATTCATATTTTAATTTTAATTTCATAA